GGAAGTGCAAGGACCCGAGTTCAATCCCTGGTACCAAAAAATAATAATAATAATAAAAAAATAAAAAATCATCTTTGAATGACAGATTTATCATAGTATTACAGTTTTGTTGTTGTTGTTTGTTTTTATTGCCATATAGTAATTATCATTTCCCCCAATCTTTTAAAAAAAGGAAGTTTAAAAAAATAACAAAATTTACCATCTTATTTACTTATTTTTTGTTTTTTGGCAGGGCAAGGTCTAGCTTTGTAATTCAGGCTGGCCTTGAACTCACTATATAGCCCAGGCTGGCCTCAAACTCAGGGCAATCCTCCTGCCTCCCGAGTTCTGGGATCACAGACCTGCACTACCACACCCAGCCCATCTTATCTATTTTTATTAATTTTCTTTTTTTTGGGTACTGAGGATCAAACTCAGGACCGAACACTTGGCAGACAGGTGCTGTGCTGCTGAGCTACATCCCCGCCATCTTATCTATTTTTAAGTGCATAGTTCAGTATTGTGAAATCTATTCCTGTTGTTTTGCAACTGATCTCCAGAATTTTTCATCTTGCAAAACTGAAACTCTGTGCTCATTAAGCAACAACTCCCCATTCCTTCTACCCCCAGCCCAGCAACCACCATCCCACATTTTATCTGCATGAATCAGATTACTCTAGGTACCTTGTGTTAGTAGAATCGTGCAGGGTTTGTCCTTTTATGACTGGCCCATCTCCCCCAGCGTGGTGTCCTTAGGTTCATCCATATCGTAGCACGTGACAGGATATTCAGGAAGCTTTTGCAGTAGTGTGACTAAGACCTGATGGGAATTTGGACTAGGGCTTCGTAACAGATGTGACAAGAAGTAGGGAGATCAGGAGGATGGGGAAAGGTCGAGCCACAGGACTGGGTGTAGGGTGGGAAGGTGGCAAGGCTAGGGGAGATAAGCTTCTGCCTTTGGCCCTGGCTGCAGAGAGGAATGTGGGCAGACCAGTGGCAGCCACACTTGTGGACTCCTTTGGAGGGTGGGCCCAGGAGTAATCCAGGGGTGACTCACCCAGGGGTGTCTCACCAGGGGTGGAGCTGGGACCAGAAGAAACTGAAAGAACTCTCTCTTCAGCCCAGAGGCCCAGACAGACCAGAGAGGAAGGCCAAACAACCACTGTGGCCCCTTTGTGCCTTCCTACAGGTTGCTGGCCTACAGAGTGGGCTTTATGGTTTCCCAAGATAAAAGGCAGGAGGAGGGGTAAGGTTTTGTGCTCTGTCCTGGTGCAGGATGCCAGCGGGTTGGGTTCCCCGTGGGGCCACACTGATGTCTCCTGTTCTTTCTTTCTCTAAAATTGTACAGGTCCTTTCACCCAGGGGTCTCCTCTCTGCTCCTATCTCCCCCAAGAGGTGGGTGATTCTCCCTTCGGAAGGAGAAATCCCTGATCCTGACAGTCTCAGCCACATGGGAGTGGCTTCTCCCCAGAGATACTCCCAGGGAGCAGAGTGGAGTGTCTACTGAAGGCAGGCCTGTGCCAGACCTAAAGATGCAGATCCCAGATGTGAGCCCCACCTTCAGAGGAGCTGCTGCTGGGTGGATATGAACAGGGGTGGTGTTGGATCACAAAAAGGGTTTTTAGTTCTAATTGGTATGGGATGGGAGTTGTCAGAAAAGACTGCATAAAAGATATTTTCTTGAATCATATCTTAGAAGGGTTTTTTTATTAGCTTGTAGGAAAGAAAGTGAGGGAGTGGCAGCAGATAAAGAGTCCCTCATCTGGACAAAAGTGGGAAGATGGAAACAGGCCTATCTTCAGCTCTCTACAGCAGGATCTGTCTGCTCAGGGATGAACAGGGACCCATAGTCTAGGACTTTGGCTTTAGTTTGTCTGGGAATGGAAGTCATCAGGTGGCAGAAATGAGGAACTCTGGTAGGGAAGCCATTTAGATAACTTTTAAGAAATTCCATATAGCGGGCTGGGGGTGTATCAGTGGTAGGGGACTTGCCTAGCATGGGTGAGGCCCTGTGTTTGATCCCTAGCACTTCCATACATGCTCAGTGCTGTTGTTGGAGCCATGAAAGTATTGATTTATGCAATATTCACAGACACCCCACACTAGTCACCCTACACTAGCCACTGTGCTAAGCAGATTAAGGACAGGCCTGGAGGGGGACATGGAAGGAAGAATGGCCAGAAGAATGGCAGCGGTGAGGGTGGAGCAGGCTCTGAGAGGCCTTGCTACCGTATGCTGAGGTGTGGACTCTTGCTTGCCTCAGTCTCCATGTCTGTAACCTGGGGACAGGAGCACCTGCCTCTGTGGCTGAGCCTGTGTGACCAGGTCTTTTGTACTACTGTTTTCATGCTGGTCCTACCCATTGGTGTCAACAGACCCACTGTTTCCTTTGTCCCTTTCCTGGATGTCTTTGGGTACGTGGGCAGGGAGACCCTAGCCTTTGGGAGTTTTTGTCATTTCCTTATGGAGCTGGAACTGGCTTTGAAGCCTGCCTGGCTCTTCGGAGGGAGAGTGGTGAAGGGCGGAGGAGGGTGGAGGTTGAAGTGTTTGGAAGGGCAGGCCGTGGCACGGGCACCTTTTATTTTTGTTCTGAACATGTGAGTCTTCCCACAGAGACTCATTCTGCACAGAGTTGTTCCTCCCCTGTCACACAGAGGATGTGAGAGCCCCTGGGAGGGCTCAGGGCAGGTGAAGCAAGGCTGTCAGCCTCCTGCCCCAAGCCAACCATGCCACCAAAAATAGAAGGCCCACAGCATCAGCCCCAGGAATGGCTGCAGGGAAGCCTTTGAAGCAGGACGTGGCCTGGGAGGGAAGGCAGGGGAAGCAGGGCTGTTAATATGCAAGGAGCAGCAGCAGGCAGCAGTTGTCGCTGGGTTTTCTGTGTCTCCAAAGCAGGCACACCAGAGAGATGTCACCAACCTAGGCTTGGCTCAGGACCTGCTGTGTGACCTGGGCAACTCACCTCCCTCTCTGGGCCTCAGTGGTCCCTTCCCTAACATGAGAGGCTGACTTAATGAGTTCTAGGTGCCTTCCTGCTGCAGTATTCCAGGGTCCCTGCCTTCAGGGCCTTGGCCATGCACCCTGTGCACACACACACACCAATGAGGTTTGGGTCTGGCTGTGCCCAGGACTTGTGCTGAGTCTCTGGAAGGTGGCAGGGATGCAGGGCACACAGGAGAGTGGTGAGTTTGCCCAGAGCACCCTCCTGGGGAGCTTCCTGAGGGAGGGAAGAGGCCATGAGCACAAAGACAGCCATGTCTTTGTGTGTGTGTGTGTGCGCGCGCGTGCGCATGTGTAGGGGGCAGGGTGACATTGGAGATATTTAACAATCAGGGCTGCCCAGGCTTGGACTGATGCATTTGGGGGAGGGGCTGCTGTGCCAGCTGCTAACCCTTTCATTCCGGGGTGGGGGTGTCTGGGGTCCTGGAGAGGGGTTAGAGAAGCAGCAAGGGAGACATTTGGAGGGGTTGGGGCAGGACAGGGCCTATTTATTAATTGGCATGGAGGTATGTTACCATTGTGACAACCTGTGAAGCTGTACTGTGACCTGCTGTCCATCAGCCTATTTATGTGGAGGGAAGGAGGGAATAGAGAATGCTGATGGGCTGCAGGAGCAGGTTCCTAGTCATTTCCTTTCAGTCAGAGTGGGGACAGGTCAGCGTCTCACTCTCCACCCTTTCTTCCCCAGAGCAAGGGTACAATGAAGGGCACTTGCTTCCCCCACTCCATTCCACGTAGAACCCCGACCCTGGCTTACCCAGGGCAAGAGCTTGCCTGGCAGCTGCCAACCACAGGCCAGGTGGCATCAGCAATGGCTCCTCAGCCTTCTTCCGCCCCAGTACGGGGTGCTGTTTGGCACCCCCTCCCCGACCAAGTCCCCCATCCCCTTGGTGAAGTTTCCCACCTGGTTCCTCCTGGCCTGTGGAAGTGAAGCTGAGGTGAGATGGGGAGGTGGCGCGGTGAGAGCAGGTGCAATTTAAGAGCAGCTGGTGAGGGGAGACCCTGGATTCTTGGTGTAGGGCCCCTGCTATGCTGGCGGCCCCAACTTCCCTGTGCAGCAATTTTGGTTTCTATTTTAAACAGTTTGGGTTAGTTGCTTTTCCCTGCCTTCCTGCTGGGTGTTTAGAGTGAGGAAAATAATTGGTAATATTTGCACAGATGTGCTGGTACTGCAGCTCATCATGGGCACCTTTACCCAGGGGACCCTCCCTGCCCCCAGCCTCCCTCTGCCAGCCCGAGGAACCAGCCTGAAGGGGAGGAACTGGGCCTCCCAGGAGCCTCATGCCCCAGACATGCCAGAGGCAGGCCTCACCCAGCAGGAGAAGTGTCAGCCTCTGCTCCAAGGTCTGAAAGGACAAGCCCAGGAGAGGAGGGGGAAGACCCCAGGCTTTTTGCTAATTCCATTTTTTTCCTGAAGAGCCTGAATTTGCAGCTGAGGGTAGGGATGAAGGAAGCTGGGCAGGACCAGGGATGAAAATAGTAAATCAAGCTGGTAAGGTGGTGCATACCTATAATCCCAGCTACTCAGGAGGCTGAGACAGGAGGATCACTTAAATCCAAGAATTTGAGGTCAGCTTGGGCAACATAGTAAGAGCCCATCTCAAAAAGAAAAAAAAATCATTTGGCTTCTCTTCCTTCTTCCTAAGGCCTGGAACAGCACACCAGAGGGCTAGGAAGGAGGTAAGTGGGAACAGTTTGGGTCGGGGGGCAGCCTGGTTGCTGAGGGGGCCTACAGCCCTGTGCCCATTCCAGTGCCTGGAGCCAGCTGGGTGGCAGGATGGGCAGGGCTGGGTGAGAGTTCTCAGCCACCACATCTCCTTCACCCTTCCCCATTCATGTGTGGGTGCACACCTGGATGTGTGCATGTGGTTTTTGTGCATTTGTGGGCCATCCCTGTGCATGAAGGTGTGCATGGTTGCATGGCTGTGCCTGTGTGTGCACAGGTGCATGCCTATGCAAGTATGTGCATATATATATATATATATATATATATATAGCACTGATACATGTTCATGTGAACATGCAAGTGTGTGCTTGGGTGTGGGTTCCCCAGAAGCCAACTGTGAGACAAGGACTCAATTGCAGGGAGATTATTGGAGAGTGGTCCCTAGGAATGGGGAAGACTACAGAGAGAAGGTAGCTGGGGGGGCCAGGCTGCCAAGCAGATGGCTGCTGTGGGCGCTGATGTTCACTCCCACCGGGGGCCCCTGGGAACCAGTGTGGAGTACAACTAGTCCTCTCCCATCCAAGGGGCAAGATGTGGAGGCTCTTTATACATTGAGTCCCATCAGTGGTTGGCTGAAGCCTCCTGAGTCGCCTTTCCAGCATTTTCAGCTTGTCCTGCCTCCTGCCATGTGTCACAGAGTTCCCTGTAAGCACTGTCAGTATGTAGAAGGGAGGGCAGGGGGCACCTGAGTGGACACTGAGTCATCTTCGCTGCTGGGTGGCAGATGTGGTCAGTGTGGTGAGGTGGCACCCAGCGCCCTTCAGGAAAAGTGAATGGCTCTCCTGCTGCTGCAAGTCCTGGCAGCAGTCTTCAGGATAAGGTCCCTTGGGGAACTCAGCTAAAAAACCCTGCCTCACCCATGGTCACATCCCCTTTCTGGGTGGCCCACATCCAAAGACTGATCTTTCACACACCTTTCCTACCTAGGCCAAAGAGCCTCGGAAGGATTTTTTTCCCCCTCAGGGTATGCATCCTGCCTAGTCCTGCATGAAGTCAAGAGCAAGCCACAGGGGAGATAAGAATCCAGGTGACTAAGCCGAGGAGCATGGAGGAGTGTGGGGCAGCGTAGGCTCTGGACACTTCTCCTAGAGGCCCATATGCAGGCTGCTGGGTCAGGGGCAGCAGACCGGTGATGGAGGTCAGTATTGGAGAACTGGGTCAGTAATGGGACCCAGGCAAAGGTGGGCAGGCAAGGTCAGCAAGAGGCCCAGAGGGCACCAAGTGTTACAGAAAAGTTTATTACCAGGATAAATAAATACAACAAGGGGTGTTAAAAGTGCCAGTGATGCATCGAGCAGAGGGTTGGGCAATGTTGGAGTTAGGGGAGGGCACGGGACAAGGCATGGTCAGTGGTGGAGCCATGGCCCTATCTGGATGGGGCATGGGAATGACCAGGTCCCCCAAATGATGCACAATGGGGTCCTGTGGCTTGGGCCCCAACAGGCCTGCCTTCTCACTTGCTGCCTGCCTGATGTCACTAAAGTTCTTGACGTTGCCTTAAGGCTGTGGGGCTGTGAGCAGACCTGAGTGGAGAAGCCCCAGGGCTGGTCAATTGCTATCACCAACCCCCAAACGTTCAGAGATGGAAAACATTACTGACTTTGAGACTCAGGCTCTACCTTCCTCCTTGTGTTGGTGGAGCACTCATAAGTGGCTGTAATTTTGCTCCATCCTGGATGCTCCAGGCAGAATCCAAATAGCTTGGACCGCCCCCCCCCCAACCCAGGAGGCCCTTGCCTCCTGCTCTGCCTACCAACACAAGGGGTTGTGTGGAAACAAATCCTGTAAATGGATCCCACTCATTCTTCTAGGCCATGATCAGGGGACACCTCCTCTGGCAGGCAGCCTAAGCTGCCTGTTTCCTTCCCCTCAGACTCTGTTCACTGCCTTTCCCACAGGGCTGGACCTAGGCCCTGCATCTGTTCAGTGGTTCAGGGCTGCTGGCACTCTCAGTCTCCCTGGGGTAGGTGGGCACCAGCGTAGGGCTCCAGGGCAGAGGCCAGAAAGGATGTGGGGGTGGGGGGGCCCATGAGGCCCCAGCAGGATTCAGGGCCCTCTGACCTCTGTCATCACTGCCCTTTATTCCCCCCCAGGGGAGCCCCAGGAACCTGCCCTCCTTGATGCAGAGTTTACATACTGAGACTCCTCTTCTCTATCAAGGATCTATGTTACCTGCCCACAGGGGAGATAAGCAGCCCCTAGAATCGGAAAGAGCAGAGATGCATGTGTCTCAGTGTATTTCCTTCCTGACTGGCTGGCTTTGGGCACCATGGGCATCACGGGGTCAGAGAGTAGAGCTGAACTGTTCAGACTGTCTCCAGATGAAGACCTTATGGGTGGAAGGGCTGGGGCAAAGCTCTACCCACTGGCACCTCTCTCCTTTCCTGGAACCTCCTGCTCTTTCTCTAGGGAGAAAGTGGGTAGTGGGCTACTGACAGGGTGGGAGCCCCTGTAAGGACTGGCCAGAACAGGCTGGGCTAGGCGCTGTAGAATGGCCTGGTGGGCAGCCCTGTCTCTCCTGCTTCCACTCTGTAGCCTGGGTCAGAGAGTGGTGCCCCTGGTTTGCTCTGTTGAGAAGAAGGGAAGGTTGAGCTCTGCAGGCTGCAGGCTGGGAGCCCTGACCCCTGACAAGCCACTCCCATGGGTTTTCTCCAGGGCCTAGCATGCTCCATGGAGTCTGCAGCCCCAAGCCCCACCGCTTCTCCAGTAGCCTAGGGCAATCAGGATGCAGGCCATATCAGCAGCTGCTAGCCATGGCCATTCTGGGACATGTAAGCTGCCAGAGCCACTACCACAGCCACATAGAGACCGGCCCCCACTGCTATGGAGAGTGTAGCCAGAAAGAGGGCCCGGCGGGAGGTGGTGCTGGCCAGGCGGAAGTCTCCTTTGGAGATGGCCTTGCTGGTCTAGGGAGAGAGATATGCTGTTAAAGAGAGCAGCTTCACGCTCAGCAGGGCAGCCCAGCCCACCAAGCCCCTAACCCCATTCTACAGCTGGGGGAGCCAAGCCCTCAGCAGAGGGAGGTGGCCCAAGTGCACTTACCCCCTGGGAGAAGTAGAAGGCAGCGATGCCCAGTGGCCAGAAGCAGCAGAGCATGGAGAAGAGGGTGAGACCCAGGTGGTCCCTGGGGGGCAGCGTGAGAAAGTTGTCTTCACTTTCACTCTCTGTGGATGTTGCATCACTCTGCAAAACAGTGCAGTTTGGTAGACAGGCCCCAGGTTTTCCTAGCACTGTCACACCGGCAGGAGTTCTTTTTTTTTTTTTTTTTTGGTATGGGGGATCTAACTCGGGACCTTGCGCTTGTGAGGCAGGTGCTGGAACCACTGAGCTAAATCCCTGGCCCTGGCAGGAGTTTTTAAACAAGGTATTACCCATACACAGGGGCCATTGATGTGGGACAATAGGTAGTGTCTTCTGCTGTTGGTGGCAGTGTAGTTTGGTCTCACCACTTTCTACCAAAAGCCTTTACAATGGCCACATGATTCTACTTTTAGGACTTTATCACCAGGTCTCTATATCTGGAGAAGTTCATCACAAGATAGTAATTGTAAAATATTAGAAATGCTCTCAAAGCCCAGTGGCCAGGAGATTGAGTTAATAACGATGGAAAATCTCACAATGGAAAACCGTGTAACTTTAAAATCACCTTGTAGAAAATATTAAATTTCACAGAGCAATATTGAAATAACAGGTTATAAAATTATGTCCAGCAAGATCTTTTTGAGAGAGAGAGAACCAAGCAGGTTATAGTATATGTGCTGCGAAGCAAGCACGGCCAAATAGGTTATTAAAAAAAAAAGGCTTAGCTGATCACCCACCAAAATAATAATGCTATTTTTGAGTGGTAGATAGTTGCCATTTATCACTTGGACTGAAAGTCAACCCAAGCTAGTGCTTCTCAAAGGGTGGGCTGCATTGGGGTCAGAAGTAACCTTTTCTTCGGTGGCAGAACCCAAGCCTGTTAAATCTTGGAGTCTGATGAGGGACCCTGGGAATTGGCATTTTGAGCAGACATGCTCACCTCCTCCTCCTGGTCATCCTCCTGGCCCTGCAGCTCCTCTTGAACCCCGTAGGACACAGTCTGGATGGTGACATCCTCCTTAGCTTGGGTAGGTTCTGTGCACTGCTCTGTGGGTCCTGCTAGGGGCTCCCTGGCCTCCGTAAAGCTGGTCTCACAGCTGCCTGCCCCAGGCTCCTTGACTTTGTCCTTCCCCAATAGGCAGCTGGGCCGGTACCAGGCCTCCACAGCCAGCTGCAGGGACCCTGGGTCCAGGAGCTGGTGGGTGTGTGCAGGGCCAGCACCACTCAGGAGGTAGGAGTAGAGCTTCTCCTGGCAGGACCAGCCGGGTGGGGTCTCGGGGTAGGAATAGGGACCATGGAGGGGGCCAGGGCTCCTGGACAGCAGAGGGTTCTGTAGTTCACTCAGGCTCTCCATGGTTCTGGGGACAGCTGCTGAGGAGGTGAGCCTGGGCCAGCTGAGCAATTCTCACAGAACCTGTCAGGAGAGCAAGACAGATAGACTGAGGCTGGTTCCCCAGATCAGAAGCAGAAGGGGTTAAGAGCCAGGTGTGGTGGTGCACACCTGTAAACCCACATTCAGGAGGCTGAGGTGGGAGGATCATGGTGAGTTTGAGGCCAGCCTGAACTACATAGCAAGACCCTGTCTCAACAAAACAAAACAAAACAAAACAAAACAAAACAAAACGAGTCTAAGAATGCAGGCTCTGCAGTCTGACTTGGCTCAAACTCTGCTTTGCCATTTGCCAATCTCAGGACCTTGAGCTGGCTGCTTCTCAGAACTCAGTTCCTTGGGCCAGGGATTTAGCTCAGTGGTTCTGCTGCCTGCCTCGCAAGTGCAAGGTCCCGAGTTTGATGCCTGGTACCAAAAAAAAAAAAAAAAAAAAAGAACTCAGTTTCTTTATCTGGAAGGTGGGGATAGCGGTACCACTCATCTCTGAGAGTGGTTCATTTATCCACCCGCATATCTGTGTGATGCTCAGGGCTGGGAATAGAGCAGTGAGAAAGGCGAGAAACGGGAGTGGGGGAAGAATGCTCTCTTGTCTTCATGGAGCTTACAGAAGACAATTGTAAAATAACAACTCTGGTGAAGAAGTATAGCAGGTGTGTGCAAGAACATTCAATAGACAGAACTGACTCAAAGATGCAGGAAAGGCCTTGTAGCTGAGATCTAAGGAGATAAAGGGGATGGTGCTGTAGCTTGGGTCTAGTGTGTTCCCCAAAGCTCATATGTTAAGGCTTGGCCTTCGGAAGGTGTGGAAACCTCTAAGAGGTGGGGTCTACTGAGATGTTCAGACCATTTGGTCCCTGGGGGCCATGCCCTTGAAGGGGATTTGAAATGCTTGTCTCTTCCTCTTGCTCCTTTTTGTTTCCTGGCCACAGTAAGGTGAACATCTGACTCCACTATGTGCTGGCCACCATGATATCCTGCCTTGCCACAGGCACAGAGCAATAGGACAAACAGATCATGGACTGAGCCCTCTAAAACTGTGAGCCAAATAAATCTTTCCTGTTTATGAATTGATCATCTCAGGTATTTTGTTACAGTAACAGAGGACTAACACCTATGGGAAATACCTCATGCAGATGAAAATGTGTGGAAAGATGCTGTAGTTAGACAAAGGTTGGTAGGGATGAGAGTCTGGAAAAAGGCTAGTGTGGCTCAGGGATCAGAGGGAGGCATGAGATGGTGTGGGGGGGTCAGACTGTGCAGTCCTGCTGAGGTCTAAGGGGGACTCAGGGGTCTTGGCAGGAGTGATAGGGGGAGATTTGGGTCCTGAAGCCTTCCCTATGGCTTTGTGTGCAAAGTGAATTGGAGAGGGATGGGGTGTGACAGCAGGAGGAGTTTTGCTATTTGCTATGAGGTAATTTGGGCTCAATGATAGCAGAGATGGAGGAAAGATGACAGGCCTTGGTGGCAGGGAGGATTTGTTTAAGGATCAAATGGTACCTTGCTTAGCTTGGACACGGTCCATTCTTATAGCTGGCAGTTCCTGCTGGAGGAGGATGCTTTCCCCTAGTTCAGTCTTGGGGGTACACCTTAGGCTCTCTCTAGGGCAAATCGTGACCTTGGGAAGTTCCTGCAGATCCCAGGTGGGGCCTCCTGTGTGCTGAGATCTGGCCCAGCACATCCCAGCTGGAGTGCAGACACACAGAAGGGACAGACTGTGACACACTTGAGGGCTGCCTTCCATCCGTCAGGCAACCTGAGCAACTACTGTGCACCGGGGAGGCTGGCTGAGGAGGGTAAGCAGCCCTTGAGCATGTCTACAACAGACCTGCACCCTCTAGGGTTAGCAGGTGGATGTGGGGTGTACAGGGAGGGAGGGGCAGGCCTGGTGGCCTCAAGGACCTTGCATTCTCCCCATCCCAGGACCCTCATTCGGCTGGAGGATGATGGGTAATGGCTTGTCCTGGATTTCTAATCTGAAGATGGAGGTCTCAAGGTCTGATCTTGATGCAGTGGGGAGTTTGCATGCCCTTCTGAGTCTCCTCAGCTGTAAAGTGCAGGTGATATTCCCTGCCATGCCATCAGGTTGCCTGGAGGGTCCAATGAGATGGCTGAGGTGACAGTGTGCTGTGGATGGTAGGCGGGAGAGGCTGCTGTCCTTATTTCTGGGCCTCAACTTGTCTTTATTCCCCAGGCCATTTCTGGCCTTCAAGCAGGTCTCTGTTAATGCTAGAAGGAAAAGCACAGGGATAGATTTCTGCTCCCAGGTCTGAGGATTCTGGTCCCCTCTTCACCCTTAACAGCTATCAAAAATCCAGAGGCAGGTCATTCGAGAGATGCAGATGAAAACAACACTGAGATTCTACCTCACCCCACAAAGAGTGGCTGCTCTCAAGAAATCAACCAATAACAAATGCTGGCGGGGTGTGGGGAGAAAGGAACCCTTCTCCATTGTTGGTGGGAGTGCAGATTGGTGCAACCACTGTGGAAATCAGTGTGGAGATACCTCAAAGAGCTAGGGCTAGAGGTCCCATTTGACCCAGCTATTCCCCTGCTGGGGATCTTCCCCAAAGAATTAAAAGAATCATACCACAGCGATATATGTGCACCCACGTTTATAGCAGCACAGTTTGTAATAGCTAAAGTTTGGAAACAACCCAAGTGCCCATCAACTGGAAACTAGATAAAGAAGATGTGGTTTTTTTTAATAAAATAGAGTACTACTCAGCCATAAAGAATGAGAAACTAGAGACATTTATAGCTAAATGGATCCATATTGAGGCCATCGTCTTAAGTGAAATAAATAGGACACACGTGTGTAAATTCTGAATAGTTTCTCTAGTGTGAGAAACTGAAAGTGTAAATAAAGATTAAAATGATTAAAATGAATAATTGATAATTTGAAATAGGAAAAGGTCCAAAGGTGTAGGGGTGGTGGGAGCTGAAGGGGAAAGGAAAGAAGGGAAAGGAAAAATTATGAGAAAAGAAAAAAAATGGAAACGAAATCTATGTAAATAGGGAAGGGTGGAGGGGGTGAAGGGCACACAGGGAATGGGGGAAAAAAATAAGAACCAAGAAACATCATGTACAAGCACCCAATGATAACTGTAATGTGTTGTATACCTAAAATGTACCAATAAAAGAATTAAAAAAAAAAAAAGAATCCAGAGGTAAAGCCTGGGAAAGGGATGTCTCTATTTCTGCTCCAAGAGACATGATGGGATTCAAGAAAGCTGGCTCCTGAGAGACCTGGAGACAGAGTATGGTTCCAGCCATAATGTCCAGGTGGCCGGGCAAAGGGCAGTGAGGGCAGGAGAGGGCCCAGGAGGACTGGAGTGGGCCACAGGGGCCTGTCTGTGTAGGGGCAAAGGAGCGAGAAGCGGCTGCCCTTGGCTCTAAGTGCTGAATCCCTGAGAGTGGCTGTCTTAGAGTGGGAGCTCCAAGAATGTCTGACAAAGACTCACAGAGGGGCACAGAAAAGGGACCATTACCTCACATAGAGACCTCACAAGAGACCAATAACTCACATGGAAGGCACAGATGGTACTGGAGATGCTGGACTGTCATGTGCCTGGGGGCCCTGCTGGTGGGTGAACCTGTTGCGAGTTTCACACAGCTGTCACTCAGCCGGGACAGAAGCTACTCCCCACCCCTACTACCCTGCAATGACAGGGCACACAGGCTTGGGTGAGATGTGCAGGCTCGAGTCCAACCTCTGCCCCTGGGCACCAGAGTGCATGGAGCTCTTGGACTCTGCTCATGTGGAGAGGGCTTCTTGCAGGTGAGGGGCTGCGAGTGTCCAAGGCAGAAACCTCATGAATTAGGCTTGTGTTGGGCTCCTCTGGGCAGATTCCCACCTGGCCTGGTATCTTCTGACTCCCAAGGACAGCCTTAGCCCTGCCATAATGTCCCCTCTCCAAGCAGATGTGACTCTAAGGCGTGGAATGAAGAGCACATGACCACAGGGCCCCTGGGTTTGGGAGTCAGGTACACTGGGGCCCCTCAAGCTCCTCATCTTTTCCGTGAGTGGGTGGAGGAAATGGTCACTGAGGTCGATTGTGTGGCACTAACATTCCATGACTCCATGGCCCATGAAGTGAATCTCCAACTCCCAGTTCCCTTTCAAGAGGCAGGGATAGAAACATCCATCACTGAGAGAGGCATAGTCATTGCTTCCTAGGCTGAGGGTGGCAAGGGAAAAGGTGAGACATCTGCTCTCCAGAAGGGCAGCAGAGCCATGTAGTCATCTCCTGACTTTCCAGCTCTCCCTGCACCTCCCCAGTCTCAGTCCTGTCCTTGTCCTCACCCCTAGTCCACCACACTCACCCTCTGGGAGTCTAGGAAATGGATCCCAGAAGTCCCTCAGCTTCTCCTTTTAATGTATGTCCCAGTGCCTAGAGCCTCTGGGGTCCCCTGCCAAAGCATGGCTCCATCACCATCCATGTGGGCTGAAGTGTGCAGGAGCCTTTGGGGTGGGTAGGGAAGCCCAGGCCCTCAGAGCAGATTAATGCCTCAAATTCACCCCTGCCCTATATTCTGCCTCACAGGAGGCCTTGGCAGGTCCCTTGCCCACCTGTCTGATGCCCTTGAAGGGATGGAAAGATAACTGAAGACCATAGGGGTATTGTAGGGCATGTCCAAAGCAGGCAGCGGCTGATGCATCCCAGCTCACCCCCTGCTCCTGTCAGATTCTCCTGGTGAAAGGATACCCAGCCAAGCTGGAGCATGGCTCTGGGTACTCTGATGGGGCCCTGAGGAAGAGCCTCCCAGCACTTCATGCAGGAGAAAGGTGCAGGATTTGCACAGTGGAAAAATGGGAAACTGCTTGAATGTCCAACCACTGGAAACAGCTTAAATAAGTGATGGCACACGATGCAGTGATATAAGGCCTTTGCGCAGATTTACAAAGAGTAATGACATGAGAAACACTCATGGCAGTCTCCATGAGAAGGAAGAAAAGCGAACGGTTTGGCCTGCAATCTCTACTCCAGTGAGATGTCAACATGATTAACTCTAGGAGTGGGAGT